TTATTTTAAATTAATCCTCTCTTCTATTTTAATGCACATCAATCACCGTTCTGCGCATGCGCGAATCACGTGATATTGGCGGTCACGTGACCCCCTCCGTAGCGTTCTGTCACAAAAGTTGAAAGATTTTTCTGAGTTTTATATGACTTTCCATGTGAGTTAATTTTTATGACAAGAACAGTTTGTTTGTCAGAAATGGTCAAATCTCGGCAACAGAATGGGTGGATAATATTATCCTTTCCAAAAATAAGCATGGCGACCATTAAAACACAAATCTTCTGTCTCGGGAGAGACCTTTATTTAAGGTGGATAGAGAATGGGTGCCTCCTTTTTATCATATCTAATAAGTTTAAAAATATAAAATAAACGATATCTTAGGTGTTTTATAATAAAATTATATTATTGTTCAAATATTCAACTATTTTTCAAAGTGTAAATTGGAGGTCTTTGATTGCAAATTGCTTAATCAAAAACACATATCTTTTCAAACTTGCTTTCACTTTGCAAGACGACAAGTATCATTTTTAACCATCTGCCTTCCTTCACTAAAACGATCAATCCAATCTAAATGAATTTATAGGAACTTATTTATCTTAATAAACTGTGTACAAATTATTATATGATACTGTAGAGGGATTTCTAAGATATACAATAAATTGTACAGTCGTTTGTTGAACGAGTTCGACTGAGACAACCATTTTTCGTCACAAGTGACCTACATAGTGACGTCATTTTCACATTGTGACGTCACAAACAAGGAGAAAAAATTTATTCAGCATATGCTGTTTATAGACCTTGTGTATGGCTATGTGTGTACCGAATTTCATTCTAATCTGATTTGTGGTTTTGTAGATATAGAGATAGTTCGCGAACTTTTTGATCACCCCTCGTACTCGTAGCGCTCCATTCCTTAAAAGTGATAGAGCCGAGGCCCCTTAAATAAAGAATATTTATATGATACACTGTAAATAGACATTATACATACATGTAAGTAGTATTTATTTTTTATATACTATAGATTTTCAGGCGAGAAAAGTGCACTAAAGTTAATTAATCCCGTGTTTCTTAACAGCTTCAATAGCTCAGTGAAATGTGTACCCGACTACAAAGCGGAGGGTATCAGGTTCGATTCTTACCATGAGCAATAAAATTTTCATAATGTGAAAAACAACTCTAAAATTTACTAAACTTCTCTAAAAAATTCTAAGTGCTTTCCTCGACAGAGGCACGGAAAGGAAAATAAGAAAAATACGAAATTCTGTTTTCAATGAAATTTGCAACTCTCCATTCCTGAAAAGTAATGAAGCGCTCAAACGAAAGAATGACGTCACAGGTGGATTTTACTTCATAGGATGGAATCACACTGTGGAACTTGGAAACTAGTTTTTTCGCATGAGACCGTATAAATTGAGGTCCCGTGCCGCTGTAGGTGCTGGCACGAAAAAGATCCCTTACGGGTCATGTCCATAAGTGCCGGATCCACAAATCGAGGGAAGGGACTTAAGTGTGTCTAATTATATCCCTGTTAATAGATGCCTAAGGTATCCCATATAAAGTTTCCTATATATTGAGGCTTAAGGAGGGGGCATGATTTATTTTCTGTAGGATTGTATTTTTTTTTTTACCTTCACATTTTGCGTCGTTTTACAATCCCCCCTTCCGACCATTATTCCACCTGTGTTGCTATCAATTTGAGACGTCTTAATGAGGGATTTAAATGACATAAACATCCACCACGCGAGTGCTATCAAATAGTTTAAATTTGTTTAAAACGCACATCAATTGAATTATTTATAAAAAAAATTTGACAGCTCTATGTTTACACCTGAATGCCGATTAAAATTGAAGGCCATTACTGAAATTTAACCGTGTCATTTATGGCTGCTACTTTAAAACGATTAAAAGATTAATTATAATCTCGTTCGTTTAACATCGGGTTTTCTCTTTTTTTTCTTACCGAGATTCACGCAATGTTGAAGCAAGACGGGTTTGTCAAAAACTCAAATCAAAATGCGGGAAACGTCCTGCGTCATTGTGCGTGACAACTCGCCAATACTAAAGTCTATGGAGGAAACGAGGAATACACAACTAAGTGAATACACAACGAGTCTGAATACACTATTCTATAAATGAATGCACAATCGTCTTCAGAGGTCTTGAGTGGTTTTAATAATGGATAATTACGGTCCTCGGTTTAAAGTTCCTCTGCCTAGCTTGTCAGATGAGATAGGGTGTCTCTAAGGATCAGAGGGAGTAGGTAAGTCAATTTCGATTTTTAAAACTTTCTTTTTTTCTCCTATATTTCTTTATTTGAAATATCGTGTAAATTTTGAAATGTTAAGAGAGAGAGATGGGGAGACCTAGAGAGAAAGAGGGGGAGAGAGAGAGATCATTATCTAAGTCCATGAAGCGTTTTATGAAGTTAAGAAATGTACATGTTCCACGTGTCATTATATGCACGTGTATGGACGTCGCTTCTGATTTTAATTTTTGTTTAATATCTGCAAGATAATCAGAATTTACATGACAAAAATCAAAAGGAACATGAAGGGTATATGCATCAATTTTAACCAATTGATCTGTTTTTATCGATATAATTTATATCAAAAATAAGCTGTAAATGTGTATTTACTGCAAGTTGAAATAGATCCTATGTGCCAAATTTCAAATTAGTTTTTTGAATGCAACCTCAGGGGTTTATTTTTCAAATAACTATTGTCTTTTCACTGAAAAAATATACTATTAAAATTCTCTCTATTTAAACAGCACATGTATAAACATATAATAAAATTTGTGAAATTTATTAAATTTTATGTTGTTTATATGCTATTTGGATTTTGAATAACCATTCCTAGAATATAACTTCTTGCTACAGTAACAAATTAAAGCATATCTATTAGTTTTTAGGTTTCCTGGAAATAAAATCAGATTTCAGATAGCAATAATACTGACTATATGCATATTGAATAAACAAATACGCAATTGAAAGATCTGTAAATTCATTAAAACAAAGGTTCGCATTATATGTGAGCAGTGCAGCGTATACAAAGTATCTATTTCTCTCTTGGGGTTATGCACATAATTTAAAATCAATGACTGAAAACATATATATTTACAAATGCAACAGAACAACAAATAAACTAGAACTGCAATCCGCCTAGCAAAATTGAAAAAGGTATGTTTTTTTTTTAAATAGATTTGTCGATAAACAGATAAGATTTTTGAAATATCAGAGAAAATTATTACATTGTATTATTTTTTCAGATATAAATCAAGTTTTTCAATGACCACCACTGGTATTGGTCTTACAAAGGCTATAAAAAATAATAAATGAATTTCAATTAATGATCTTTTTTAAAATCTAACTGACTATAGAGAAAAAAATATTTAAGAAATTAAATGGTCTTTTTATAAATCCACTTGGTTTTTTTTTCATATTTTAATGTATAAGTTGTTTCATACAATAATACCAACGCCAATTTGTTAAAGGGTTTTGCTATTTTTTTTTTAAGTGTAATTAAATCTTTTTTTCACTATCGTTTTTACATTCTCGCTTCACTTAGTGTTTTTCTTTTTACCCATATTCGGCACATTTGGACATTTAGCCTAATATAACTTGTAATAAATTATTTCAATATCAGCGGAGTAAACGTCAACCATTTATTGTTCAGTGTACAAAATCAATATTTTTCGGATCTTCGTCACCTAGAGCAATTAAAAATCTCGTTGTTTGGAAAGAATGACGAAAAGTAAGTTTCGACGCGGGGTACATCTTTTAGGGCACTTAAAAACGAAAATGTTTGGTTTGAACATGGCAAGCGATCTATTGGGGTGGGTTTTTCTTTCAGACACAAAACCAAACGAATATATGTTCAGGAGTACTTGAAGTACCTATTCGAAATTACTTTCAAATAAGATAAATTATAAATTTATATATGTTTGTTTTATAATACAGAATTCAGCGTTTTCTTCATAGATTGATCAGGTAACTGTAGAACGGTAGCGCTATGGTTTTATATTATCATCAATGACTGAAATCTAAAAACAAAAAAAAAAAAAGGAAAAAAAAAGCACTTAAGCTAGCACAGCCTTTGCTCTAAGTTATGTACATGTGTAGATGTGTTTTCGCAAAAGCGAATAATAATCTGAATCAGTCTCTATTTTTTCTTAAAAACTTGCCAACTTTTGGCGAGTAATTGTAACTTGAGTAGCTATATCCCAGGTTAGGAGACATTATGTTTTTACGGGTAAGAGTTCTATTGGAAAAAAGAAACATAAACTCGGTAATGATTCAATAACCGTTGTCCGACAAGATCGAGGGTGAAAAGATGTTTTACAGATTTACGTTTAAATGTTGTCAAGTCTACTACCCTTTTTACCTCTAATACAAAAGAACATGGAAATTCTTTGACTCCCAGTGATTGTAACACCGAGATAAAACAGAAGATAAAAATAAGAAAAAAAATGTACGGCAAGGTCGTCTACATAGTTTGGTTGCGAAGAGCTCTTGAAATCGTGGACATAAAAAAAGAATAAGGATATAGTATGGCCGTCTAAAGTTTCGCAGGAACACCTGGTGACATTTAAAATTTATCTACAAGTACCAAAAACGAAAAAAAAATGCAATAACATTTCGAAAAATATCAAAATATAGGAAACTGTTGATAGATAAAAATCATTCATTAAGCTATTAGCAAAAATGTAAGAGAAGTAACTAAATTTTAATTAAACTCGTGAAAATTTTAATTTTTCATTCCATCTGTTTATTTCTAACTAATCAATACATGAAGTAGGAAAAGAAAGTAAATTTCGCAAACAAGGCAAATGATTAGAGAACTGTCCAAGATTTAAAATCCACCGACCTACACATTTCATTCCATTTAAACATTCAGATATGAAGTCTGTTTAAAATCCACAAATTATAACAATGGCGTTTCTATTTGTCTAGATTTATCGTGTTTTCAATTATATCAGGCTTTTAAACAGGAGAGAGGGTATTGGTTGAGAATACATTAATGTATTGCAGTGATAGAGGTTTGTTTGGTGTGTAAATAAAAACAAAATAGCTTCACCGCTCCCGTTAATTCATTCATACCAAAGATGAACTTTTGCAAAAAATAAATATTCTTTCATATGATCAAGTATCTTTAGTGAAATTTCCTGTTTCATAATGTCAGTAAAACAGTAACTGCAATAAAATTGAAGAAATATCGTTAAAACCTTGCTTCTGTCCTTTACACAGTTTTCTTTTGATGTTTTAAATTACGAGCGCTCCCTGCTGATAAAACGGAACTCTTTAACGACAGGAGGTAAAATCAATCTATAGTTCTATCACCGACAGTTCATTGTAATGGTAGCAGTGAAATAGTCAGTAAAAGCAAATGAAGGCGAGAGCCCCCGTTTTTATTGCGCGCTAACTGTGGTATATAGAATGGATTAATATACATAATCAATAATTCGCCACTCGCGACTTAATCATCAATTTTTGAGAATGGATTATCGGGAGGTTTAATAAGCTTTAGTCCTCTGTATGTTTGTCTCTATAAGGGTTTAATATTTTTTCTATGATATTGCCCTCTTAGCTGTGTGAGGCGAAAGCTAGCGAGAACCTGAGATATCTCCCCGACATGGCAAACGTTTCTGTGTGTACGGAATGCTTTCATTTCATTTCTCTGGATAGGAAATATTTATCGAATGCATTTATCAGACGGATAAACATTTGTTGACACAACAGGTTACCTTTAGAAATTTTTTTTAAAGGTAAGTGGTTTTAATCTTTTTTTTCAAGGTATCAGCGAGACTGGACTTTACCAAATACACGGGACGGCAGGCATTAAAACCCTTTCAGAGTTCGCGTTTTCTCACCCCCGTGAGATCTATCGACATATACCCCCAAAAGTCTCGTGAATGTAGGCTTAAAATCAATATATAGACTGGCAGTTTTTAATTTTCTCTGAGGTGTATTATTTGCATTGTAGGAGAATAATGTTAATTTTTAATTTCTATTTGTGTTGTGTACAGTGTTTCCATGATATGTTTGATTTTGTTTGTTCTTTTATAGAAAACACCCCATAATGACGACGACTGTAATAAAATCACGGATCACCGCCACTCTAACGGGACAGCCTGGTGATCCACGCGTCTCCCAACGGGCCTACAAGAGAAACCAGGTCGTATATCCACAATGGATGCGAACGCTAGAGGAGAAATATAAACGGCTTCACATGAAAATCAGGAAATCTACATCCTCCATGACGTATATGTACAACTCTAGTCTGGGACGAAATATAACCGAGCAGAAGACAGTCCGACAGGCGGGAATCAGCAGCCGAAACGAGGCTCCCTCTAAATCTGTGACAGATTCACATCAGACGACAATTCTTCAAAACACATCAAATACTCAGGTTAAAAGTACTCCGTGTTCATCGGCGACGAAAATTAGGATTGCTGCCACCGAGATTTCGGACGGCCCCGAAATTGTGAAGGACGTTTGTGATAACGTTATTATTAACGAGAATACGTGCTCTTGTGAAAGGGAATGGGAGAGCAAATCATTGGATTCCAACGGCAATATTAATAACGCATGTGTTCGTGAATGTGATTGTCAAAGCCAAAGGGATCTAGCAGATCCCTACGATAATAGAGTGGGATTTACAGATAACAATATGAACAAAAGACACATCGAAAAGGCAGGTTTAAAAACTAAGTGTAAAAAGGTCAATATAGCACCTATTGAGCAGGTTGGAAATAACGCATCGATTGAGACTCCTGATTGTAATAACCTTATCAGTGTTGAATCTAGTTCCCCTTTCATTACGCATATCGGTCCCCGAAAAACTTCTCCCCGAACCAAGACCTCTGTAAGCAGAAGGAGCACGGTCACACAGAAAACGTCCAAGTCCTGTCCGCCTGCGATGGAACTCGACGTCACGACGTACAGTCACGTGACTAATAAAGCAGTGCCGACGTTACGTGCAAAAAGTGCTTATTCGGGAAAACCCCTCACTTTTAGATCCTCCAAGTTATTTTCGAGAATGTCCCAGGAGGCTCAGCACGCTATGAATGAGACTATGAAAGAACGTGAGGGATTGAGAACGCCGAATAATGACGTCAAAACTCAACAATGGATTGATGAAAACTTTACACACCAAGATATCATTCTAACCAGGGTTCAGGAAAGCTCTCCTATCAAACAGTATCAAAGGCCGGACACGAAAGGACGAGGCTACTACTTAGATGAGGATGTCTATGAAACGAACTTTAATATGGACGATATACTTCCTGACGATTCTTGCACGGATTCAGAAATGTCTGTCACCACTAGGCGGCGCCCCATCACTGCAGCGACCAATAAAACGCGACTTCCATCTATCCCATCAGACTCCACTGCTGACTTTTGCACACTGGGGCAGCTGAATCATTACAACCTTCGGTTGCCAGGTATCGGACGTTACGAGATTGCTACGTTGCGTGAAAAAACATTTGAGATTACTCCGCCTGGGTATGATATAAGATATAATGATATAGCGGTGTTCGAAGATGGAGAAAGAGTTAGCGAGCTTCCTTCAGATGACATCCGCGAGAGGGCAGTGCAAAAATGTCAAGACTGGTTATCAAGGCACAGTCCCCGAAAAGAATTGTCTTAATAGCCACTTGTGACGTCATACATTTGTGTTCCTTAATCATCCTGCTAGTTCGTGTCTTCAAAATGGCTGGTGAAGCAAACTTCAAAATAGAAGTCCTATTATGGTTCAAGTGAAACCATAAAGGGAAAATATATATATATAAAAAAGCTTTCTTAAAGATGCCATTTGTGGAAGAGCTTTAGTGCTACTTTACGTCACAGCTATTTATAACCCAGTGATTTGCATTTCTAAACGTCAGGGTAATGTGTCCGTTTATTATATTTAAAGCTATATTTAATATCTTATTTATATTTATACATCAGTTATCAGTATTACTGTCTGTGATTTTTTGTTTACCTGTTAAAACTTCCTTCTCTTATGGTTTGGTACTGGATATTTCAAGAATTATATTTTTGTAATTGCATGTATGTTGCATAAAATGCAAACGTAATGACGTAGCTATGTACAAGATTTAGCAATATAATATTAGAAATACTAATTAGTTAACATTTAGAGTTCATTTTTTTTAATTATATAAATATTAAGTTTATTTTAATAAACATTTTATATTTTATGAAATAGAAAGGGGAAAAATATAGTTGGGAAAAGGGTGGATAGATTTTAGAAACTACATACATTTATCAAGGTTAATGAAATAGACAAATCATTATTACATGTATGTATATTTATTATGAATTCGTTCTTTACCTTTGTTCTACAAGCATTGTTATTTCTTTTTTATTACTTTAAAGTCATAACATGACTAAAAGCCACCAAATATATTTATATAGAAAGGGAAATGTGTTGTTGTGATTTCAATGAATGATTATTTTTTTAGGGAAAAAAGTGAAAGCTTCATAGTCAGGAATTTTCTGAATATACCAGAATATCTATATGTACAAATATATGTAAGAGAATAGCCCTGCTAGATCATGGATAGATACATTGATATGTAAATGGCTTTTCCTATCTTAAGAGGTTCAACACAATTTTTAAATGCTTTTTTAACACATTTTTTGATGCTTTTTAAAGATTTAATCAACAGGTAATTTTACAGTCTAGGGATATTCAAAATGCTTTAATAAATAAACAAATTAGTTGCGCCTATACTGTACATATATTATTTAAGTAAGGTGTATAATATGGCCTGTTAAACTTTGCATTGGAAAACTGTCAATTATTTTAAATAAGAGTATTAACTCGACAAAGCTTCTTAAAGATTAGTCCTTTAGTTTACAGAACATGGGTTTAAATACGGATCCTTTGACACGACATAGTTTCGACCAATACTCCTCTTTTTGATCAATCTGTATTTACAAATAAAAAAATTACGTCACACTTGTATCAATAATTAATGCTATTATAATTATACTTTCACTGATAATTCACCAGGGATTGACAACAATTTTATTTCGTGACAACAAGGTTTATAAGACTTAAGATTCATTGATACTCTGATATACATGTAAGAGAGATAATTCTGAATGAAATAAATGTCTATTATTCCTTTTTTAGATTTGGCATGTTAAAGTGTCTTTTTTGTCCAATTTTGCCCCGCAAGCTATGCTATAATTGTTTGTATTTTACTTCTAAAATACATCTCTTTTGAAAAATCATTAAGGTTTAAGCAACATTTTATGTTAGTGAGCAGAGGGTTTTTGAATCTTAATATTCAATGAAGGAGTATTAATTCAATTTTGTCTCGCCCCCGTCCCTCTTATTAAAAAGTTTGCTATAGTTCAAAAATTTGAATATTAAACTAAACACTTTTTTAGAAGTTTGAAACTATGAAAATCCAGTACAGAGTTTCCCTTATTTGTTTAAATTTCTAGAATATTATTTGAAAAAAAATTTGAAGTATTTGCACCATTTTTTCTTTTAAGTTCATTCAATTCTGCTGAAAATTAAAATATTCCAAGAGATCTGCTAAAATCTAGATCTTATATAACTCTCTTTGAACTTAAATTGGTACAGAGGAATATTAATATTCAGCCCCGAAACAACAATTCCCATGGCACCAAAAATCAAATGGAACAAAAGAGATCTGTAAAATTATTTCTAAAAATATAATTTCTTACAAAGTTTTTATTCATCAGAACATGTGAATTTAAAGTTTCAAGGCTTTGTTGATTCGAGTCTTTTTATTCAATATTGTCAATAATTAATACCCACAGATATATCTGTAGGATCTAAAAGTCCACCCGGTTTAAGTATTTTACATAACAACATATATGTTTATTTAAACATTTTTCAAAAAAAGCCCAATGCCTCCGTCAAATATTCTCTGTAAACAGAACATTGGCCCACTTCAGTATTTAAAAAAATGTGAAGCTATTTTTTGAGACAAGGAAAATATTTGCTTTAATTAAAAAAACATATTTAGTTTCTTTTATTAATGAATTCGTCAGACAAGAAACTCTTTGACATTTGACGGAGAAATGTATAGATTAAACCAGAAAATTCAAACTTTAAGCTTGTCTCTGTACTATGTAGGTAAATACTTAATTAAACAAAATACACGACCTTTTTGACCATGTTTGGATTATTTATATATAAATACAGAGACTTTTATTATTTAAACTTAACAATCCTGAGGGAAATATTGAAAAGAAAGATCGATTTTTTTTTCATTTATAGTTCCAAAATAAGGGTGCATATTCATCAATATAATAAATTTAAAATAAAATTTTCACCGCGCATCGTGGAAAATTCACACCTTCAACTGAAAAGTCCCAATTTTGCATTGAGTTCCTTGTATATATTCTAAATTCTATAGAGGACGCACTTGGTGTAAAGTGCAGCTTCCGATCATGAGAAACTATATGGAAACCACATGAAAACTCCAAGTTTACACCATGTGGTTTCCCTGCGGTTTTCATAGCGGATGCAAGACTATTCCTTCCGGTTTCCGTGGCACGGAAACTACTACGCCCCGATTCCATCACCGTTACCTAGCCACGGAAATCCTAGGAAACCAGGAGTTTCCCGAGCATCCTATAGGATTCCTCTGCTTTCAGTAGGTCGTAAATGTTTTTTGTGACGGCCGCGGAAACTCGATGGAATCCCTAGGCCTGGTCTTCCATGAAGGGAAACTATTGGAAATCTCAATTACAGTCTGATTTCACAGAAAATAGTAATGTGTTACATTTTGCTTCCATAAGCTATAGACAAATAATATTATCATAATATTTAAGATTTATAAGAATAAAACGGGATGTACAGTATCAACGGGATAGTACAAATAAGAAATTCATACTTATGCAATGTGCACGGAAGAGTGAAATAATTAACCATGCAGAAGGAACAAGTAATCCATGGCCAACATAACTGAACATGCAGTCATGATCAAATCAAACGTCAAAAATGTCCACGAAAAATACTAGTACTTGTTCTCTGTTATTAAATTTTAAACAGCTGCATGTACTCCATAAAAAACAATTCAAAGTCTTCGAAAATAACCTTTGACCTTTCACAAAACTGAGATCTATGTTGTAAGTTATTGCTGTTATACAATACATTTCTTTCTTTCTAGTCAAGGCACCTGTTATGCATTGTTTCAGTTATTGGCTATTATATAATGTATGTATGTGACACCTTTAAAAATCGTCTGATAAACAATACAGTCCGAAACCCGATCAATCCATAAACAAAAAACGTCGGGTTCGATGGTCCGGAATAATGTTTTGTTTTAGTCGATGTTCTGTCGCGTGTGGACCGTAAATCTCGCATGCCATCACCCGGAAAATCGGGGGCACTTACTATGAATGGCAATATGCGACAAATCATTACAAATGGGTGTAGTTACAAATGAACAAAGGACTCTGGCATGTTTTGTGTATGTTTCAGAGGGCGTGGACTCAAAATTCAAGTAAATAAGAATATGTCAGTACTTGCAGTGAAAAAGAAAGTATTGGTAGGATCATTCCTCCCTCTATTTTCCCACATCCTTTCCTCATTGCCTTTCCCTCAACTCTCTCCCCTTTGCCATTTTTTCTCATAAACATTCCTCTAAACTTTCCACAAAACACAATACACATGCGTTTTATCTCTTCATTTCTTTCTTAAATGTTTGTATTATTATGGATACATACATGTAGGTCATGGGGCCAGTATTGTACTTACTATCAATGATTCATTTGACACATTCATTAAAAATGATTTTCTTCGGAAAAAAGTTATGTTTCAAGTAATATTCTTAATTACGACGGTATTCATTCAGACTAAAATTAACTAAGGATACGCCTCTTACCTCTCCCCCCGAAATGAATTTTTCAAGAAGGTTTGGGCAAGTGAAGGTTTTTTATTTTACTTGTTTGTTTGATTGTATGTTGTTTAACTTCCTTCTCGATAATTTTTCACTCATATGGAGACACCAATACTTGACGACAGAGAGCTATAAATTTTGTCTTATACTCGACACTTAGGGCCATTGAGCAGGGAGGGATCTTTTTCGTGCCAGCACCTGCTGTGACACGGGACCTCGGTTTTATAAGGTCTCATCCAAAGGACCGGTCTCCATGTCCCGGGACTCGAACCCGCGACGTAACGATCAACTCCTTACTTCGCGACTCTAAAGCAGACGCTCTAACCACTGCGCCACGCGGCGACTTTTTTACTTATAAAATAATTCAATAATTTGACATTTTTAGAAAAGATGTGGGTCGACCCCCCCCCCCCCTCCCGGTAAAAATTTAAAATCCTGGAACCGCCATGATATATATCCATAGTGTTTGCGAACTGTTAACAAACATACACCATATTTTAACTTATAAATATAATGAGTCATGTAAACTAAACAGCGTAGTTTTCTGTGTACTCAATATCGCCATTCCTAACCTCCTAACGAGATTTTTGTAGGTTTCTAAATTACACAGGGGTCGTTTAAAGTTAATGGAAGTAGTTACTCTTTACCGTTATCAGCTGCAGTCGATAATTTAAACATTGTTATCTAATTAACGACAAACACGAGGAAATTTATGGATTCCAATTACGGCGTCCGTAGTAACCAAGCAGAAAATTTTGTACCGGAAGTTGAAGTCTGAGGATCTAATTATGGAGGGCGGGGTTCCTGTTTACAAATCTAGAACCAATGTTAGACAGTTATATGCATGAATCTTAAAATGAGGTCTCTGTAGAAAAAAATGGTAAGAATGATTGATTGATTGATTAAACTAATCAATCAAACAGATCAATTACTTTCCGCCATTGTACTAGTCTTCAAAACATACAACAATTCAAAATGTACACATCCGGGAAGTGTGGTTTGTATAGAAAAGCTAATAAAAAGCAAAATTAATTATTATTGCATGCTCTCACAATTGGGTGATTTAATGACTTGGTTAATGAATACAAATATATATATATTTTACGTATACTTTGAATTTTTATTTTTTAATATTAAAAATAACACATTAAGAATTATTATCTCATTAGTCTTTAATATGGTGCACATTTAAATAAGTGAATGCTAACGAGGTTACATTGTCCAGAGGTTTTGATATAATATTCAATGTAAGGCGATTTCCAATTTAGAGAAACCAAAGGCCACTTTAGCCATTTAACTGAGCGTGTAACACTTGTTTTTTAACATTTTTATATGAAGTACACTGTACATATACAGTAAAACCCGGTTATAACAAAGCCATTTATATCTGAAATTTTGATTTCATGCTACCAAAAGTCCTCGTATCTGATTGAGAAAAAAAAAAATCATATTTCAAAGTTTTCTGTGGGATTTGTAATTTTTTTCTTCAACTGGATTTAACTGTAACAATTACATTAAATTAGGTTACCAAGAAGT